TATGGCCATTTTCACTATATTAATCCTCCCTACCCAGGAGCAGGGGATGTCTGTCCATTTTCTGATATCATCTTCAATCTCTCTTTTCAGAATGTTATCATTTTCAGAGAAGAGGTCTTTGATTTCTTTTGTTAGGCTGATTCCTAGGAATTTCAGTTTTTTGGATGCTATTGTGAAAGGCATTGTTTACCCTATTTCCGTTTCTGTGAGTCTGTTATTCGTGTAGAGGAAAGCTATTGATTTTTGTTTGTTGACTTGTATACAGCTACATTACTGAATTTGGTTATTGAGTCTAGAAGACTTTTGGTGGAGTTCTTGGCATCTTCTGTATGGAGTATCATGTCATCTGCAAATAATGACAATTTGACTTCTTCATTTCCTATCTTTATTCCTTTCATTTCTTTCTCTTATCTAATTCCCATGGATAATGTTTCCAAAACTATATTGAACAGGAGTGGGGACAGTGGACATCCTTGTCTTGTTCCTGATTTTAGTGTGAAAGATTTCAGTTTTTGACCATTTAGTGTGATATTGGCTGTTGGTTTTTCATAGATGGCTTTTCTCAGATCGAGGTAGAGACTGTCTATTCCAATTTTTTGTAGGGTTTTCATCATAAATGCATGTTGGATTTTGTCAAATGCTTTTTCTGCATCTGTTGAATTGATCATATGGTTTTTGTCCTTGGCTCTATTGATATAGTGTATTACATTCACTGATTTGCATATTTTGAACCATCCCTGAATCCCACTTGGTCAGGGTGTATAATCTTTTTGATGATCTTCTGTATTCTATTTGCCAGTGGCTTATTAAGGAGTTTTGCATCTAAGTTCATATTGAGATTGGCCTATAGTTCTCTTTTTAGTTGGGTCTTTCTCTGCTTTGGGGATCAAGGTGATGCTTGCTTCCAGGAATGAATTTGGAAGTACTGCTTCCCTTTCAATTTCATTGAAGAATTTAAACAGTAGTGGTAATAACTCCCCTATAAATGTCTTGTAGAATTCAGTGGTGAAGCCATCAGAACCCGGGCTTTTCTTAGGTGGTAAGTTTTTAATTACATTTTCAATTTCATTGATTGATACTGGGTTGTTTAGAATTTCTAGGCCTTCTTCATTGAACTTTAGTAATTCATACATATCTAGGAATCTGTCCATTTCTTCTCTCTTTTCCACCCTTTTGGCATATAGTTTCTGGAAGTAGATATTAATGATTCTCTGAATTTCTGCTGGGTCCACTGTAATTTCACCCTTTTCATTCCTAATTGCATGGATGAGGGTCTTTCTCTTATTTTTTTGATAAGGTTGGCTAAGGGTTTGTAAATTTTGTTTATTCTTTTGAAGAACCCTTTGCTTCATTGATTTTTTTGCATCATTCTCTTAGTCTCCATTGCATTGATTTCTGCTCTGATCTTTATAATTTCCTCCCTTGCATGAGCTTTGGGTTTGTCCTGCCTTCTTTTTCTAGAAGCTTGAGGTTCAGTATCGGGTTGTTTAATTGAGGATTGTTTAATTTGTTTTCCTAATATAAGTATTCACTGCTATGAATTTCCCTCATAAAACTGCTTTCATTGTGTCTCATAGATTCCGATATGTTGTACTGTCATTGTCACTTAATTGAAGGAACTGTCTGATTTCTTCTTTAATTTCCTCTGTGACCCATTGGTTATTCAGAAGTGCGTTGTTCAATTTGCATGTGTTTATGAAATTTTTGTGGTTTCTTTTGCTATGGATCTCCAATTTCATCGCACTATGGTCTGAGGTTATACAGGGGATAAATTTAATTCCTTTGCACTTACTTAAACAAGTTCTATGAGTGAGTAAATGGTCTATTTTGGAGAATGACCAGTGTGCAGCTGAAAAGAATGTGTATTGTGATTTTGTGGGGTGGAACACTCTGTAAACTTCTGTTAAGTTCATTTGTTGAAGAGTTTGATTGATCTAGTATTTTGTTGTTTCTTTTTTGTCTAGTTGATCTATCTATTTGAGACAGGGGTTACTGATGTCCCCGACTACTATTATATTAGTGTTTATTTGATTTTTTCATATCCATTAGTATTTTTTATATAGTTGGGCACACTAGCGTTTAGTGCATATATATTATGATTGTCATCTCTTTCTCTTGGTTTGTTCCCTTTAGAAGGATGTAGCATCCGTCTTTGTCTCTCTTAATCAGTATTGGTTTGAAATCCATTTGATCTGCAAAGAGGATAGCTACTCCTGCCTTTTTTCAGGTTCCGGTCACATAGAGTGTTATTTTCCACCCTTTAACTTCCAGTCTATGAGTTTCTTTTTGAAATAAGTGTGTTTCTTTTATGCATATTGTTGGATCTTGCTTCTTGACCCATTCTGCCAGTCTATTTCTTTTGATTGGTGAATTGAGACCATTAACATTGATAGTTATAACTAAT